TAGTGTTGAAAAATCTATGAAATTTCTTTTTACGCTTTGGCAACAGAAATTGCCTTTGTTTTTATGTATATATACAATACACTGAACTTCTATTTAACGAACTTTTCTTTGAGATCCACTTTCCCTATTTCCCAAAATATTTCAGAACATTTCAAACTTGTTAACGCATTTTATGGGAGAAATGACTTTGAATTGATTTTCGAAGCTGCTTTTAGAGAAAGCAGTAAAATCCTTTTTGGTTTGCATTTCAAACGAAAAACTTAACAAAACTAACGGATTTTATCAGGAGCAATTAAATTTAAGGACGCCTGTGGTAATAAATGTATAAAAATTACTTCTATACTAAATGCTGCTATAATTTTGTACATAAATTTAGCTTTTTTCAGTTGGAAATGTATGTAGCATGATAATGTAACACTGGATAATGTTTTGCTCTATTCTTGCTTTCCACGCAGATTTCTTTTACGGTTAAGATTTATATGATAAATAGTAGATACTAGTTTACAAGATAAAAGTGTATCAATTGCTATTTTAATTATGTCTATAGTTCATGAATTTAAAACCTGTTTTGTGTTTAAGTATTTCATAAGATGATTTTCTATTTAATGAATTATCCATATAACGAACTTTTTATCAGGATTTATCGACTTCGTTAAATAGAGGTCCGACTGTATATATGCATACACGCACACTAGCGTGATGAAGTCTTTGCCTAAAGTTTTATTTAGGATTTATATTATAAAATTCAAATAAATCTCAGTTATCCTTTAATTCTGGAATTTTATTGATGAATATAATCACGTTGTGCTATCCAAAATTACAATTGCCAGGGCTTCTAAGATTCTGTAATTTGATATCGTAATCAAACGTCTTAATGAGTACGAAAAAATCTTGAATTTGTATAATTAGCTTGATGAAAACTATTAGCGTAATTCGTAGCAGCCATTAATCCATGGGGAAGTAAATCCGAGTATTTGTGAGTAGCCTCTAGTATAATTTAAAGAAAAAAAAAGGGGGGGGGACATTAGTTTTATAGCATATAGTTAAATTTTTATTTATTACTTCATTAAGCGAAACTACTAGCAGCAAAATCGTAATCTTGCAAATAAGCCGAAGAAATAATTTGAACTATATTTGGATTAATTAAACAAAGTTGCAATTTCTTATATACCCTCTTGCAATATTTGTATTTTTTTTTTTTGTTGCCACTCTATCAGTAATCCTTATCGAGGGAACAAGTGAATTGCTCAAGATTCGAGGATTGGCTCCCCACAGCGTGCTGGGGAGCTTAACCTCTGTTTTATTTATATTTTATAACCGTCGTTGAACAGCCGACCCTTTTTNGGGGGGGGGGTGTTTACAACTAATGTTCAACTCCGTGGCCTTGTCATTTTGAACCCAATCTAGAAGACAAGGGAACTCGCGTATTAAGTATTGGGAGAAATTTACTTTCATGGAGGACTTTTTTTTAATGGAACTAACCCTCATTTGCGCTACATGAAGAGGCAAACCACGAGAACCTCTCACAGTTAGCCTGATTCCAAGGGGACTCTAACCCATGGTCCGCCTATCACTGAGGATCATCAGCACTGTGGTCGGTGCAAGCCGGATGCGGAATTCGTATCGAACAGCCATCGCTGAGATTTGAAGCCGGTTCACCTCGTTGGATAATCCTAAAAACGGATCGATTTTTCAATTCCGGTTATAATGTAAAATTAAAGTTCGTTGCATAACACTTCAAGTTTACAGAGTCTGTCATCGCATAAAAAATACTTTTATAGCGAATGTTTGTAACTGTTTAGATTTCGCAACAGTTTTTGATAACTGATTGGTTGCGTCTGTCATATTTTAACGTCATATGTTCTAATTCTGAAAACGGCAGAAAATGTAAACGTGGAACTAATTCACAGCGTTGGTGGTCCAATTCTTTAATAGTTGAAATAATGTTTCATTATCTTTGTTCCTAAAAGTGTATAGAAAATGTCATCACCATTAAAAGCGATAAATACCCAAAACATATTATATGGCAATCCATTAAATTTATGATGCATTTTTACTCTAAGGTAGGATACATAAAACCCTTACATTTATAAAAGAATTTATTTGCCGTCGGGGAAAAAATTCTAAGAAGCCTCAAAATTAAATAAGGTCAATGATTCTAGAGTATTTTTCTGGCTTCTGTTCTTACTGCCTTTTTTTCCCCCCTTTTGATTTTCATCCTCTATTGAAACTATTTAGCCATTTCCGACTAATAGCTTTAGATAGAATCTTAGTTCGTGAAAATCTGAACGTACGATCAAATAATATTTTCTAATTCAGATTTATTTTAATCGTCATCACGGATTAAATTTTGTAGTGGTTTTAAGATAGTGTACCACTGCTACATTTCAGTGTTTTTTAATGAAAGCTTTTACGAATAATATCGATCAGAGATGATAGTGCTCCGGGAAAAATCCGGATTTTCCGCTAACCGCGATCCGGAAATTTCTGGAAATCCAAGGTCTAGAAGTTTCAAGAAATCATCGATCGCATTTATGTATAGAAATTCTTGTAATATTTTATTTAAAAATATTAGAACTAGAATTTATGATTGGGCATCTGTTTCGTTTGTGAGTATTTTTCTGGTAGAATAATAAATGGAATTAGAGATAAAAGTAAACTTATAACATCATTATTAATTTAAATCATGCTGCGTGTAATTTATTTCGAATTCCATGTCGTAAAAATATCAATGAATTAAATTTATGAAAACATAAATATTTTTTTAGATGCGTTATTAATGATTTTACTCAAGAAATTTTCACGATTTGTTTAACGATTTGTTTCACGAAATTTTCACGAGTTGGGCTCGATTCTCCGATTTTATTTCATTTTATTTGTTTATGGAATGAAAAAGTGACTTGAAATTTATTTTTGCAATAAAAATAAGGAAAGGATGATACAGGCTTACGGCGCATTTAAAATTTTTTTATTTTATATATTATATATATTTATTTATATATATATATATATATATACACTGGTTATCATAAATTAA